GAGTCTGAGACGGGCCTTATGCAGCCAAGAAGGGAAGGCGAGCCGTAAACAAAGAATTCCAGGACAATGTGGTAGGACCAAGCCAGGGTCTGGCGTCAGAGAGATGGGGTTCCAGCCCAAGGTTAGCTGCCTCTCAGAGTCTCAGTTTCCTGCTCTGAAAGCTGGGTTATAATAGTACCCATTCTGAGGGCTGATGGGGTTCTGTCAGTTTATAGCAATAAAGCCAGCAAGGCACACACAGAGCACTCAACATCCGAAAGGAGCTTGTGCTAGTGTTAGGGGCGGGCCCCAGGCCAAGGAGCAGCTTTGACTCTGTTCCAGGCCTTGTCCCTGGGAAGGGGATGGGGCTCCTGCCACACTCGCAGCTCGCTCACCCAGGGGGCTTTGGCATCTCCCATCTGTCTGTCTGCTCCAGGCATGCCAGCCTCCTCACTCTCCCTGAAGCCAACCTCTGCCCCGCACACACTGTCCCCAAACATCCCCATAGCTTCTTTCCAATCTTCACTCACATCCCGTCTCCTCAGGGAGGCATTCCCTGACCATCGGGACTAAAAGAGCAACCGCCCCTCCCCATCAGCACCCCACAACTATCCTTCTCCCCTTACCCTACTTCAGTTCTTTCCATAGAATTTACCACCACTTTCATTCATTCAACTGGAAATCTTAATTGTGCACCTACTATGTGCTAGGCATAGCTCTGGGTCATGGGAATATAGCAGCCAATACACTTACACGTGTCTTTGTCTCCTGGCTGACTTCCCCCACTGCTGTAAGCTTCATGGAGCAAGGACATTGTATATTGCTCATCTCACTTCTGCCCTCTCACAGTCTTCTGAGATAGGTATTGTTATTATTCCAATTTTGCTGATGAATAAACTTAGTTTCCAAGAAGGAAGGTGATTCCCTTAAGGTCACATTGTGGGCCAGTTGGAGAGCTCAGGTCAGCCACACTCTTTCCCCAGCACATGGTGTTTCAGGCCTCCCAAAGGCACATGAGACTGAGTAGGTGTCCGCCAGGTAAGAGAAGGAGGGTCACAGACTGATAGGACAATGGGTGGCCCCACCTTACCGACAGGGCACCCTAGGCTTCAGTCCCTCTAAAACACTTGGGAGTTCCTCCAAGGCACTCAGTTCCTCCCAGGCTCATTTCTGAGTCTTTGCTCCAGCTGTCCTCCATGCCTGGTATGCCCATCCCTTTGGATCTCACTGGACAACCCCACTTCTCTGCCAAAGTTTGGTGGCTTCTCAGTGGAGACTGTTTTGCCGCTCCTCCCCTACCTTGGTGTAAAGTCTTGTGTTGATCACTGTATTATAACTTCTTGCCCTCACCTGATTCCCCACTCTCATTTCCCTTCCACCACAGGGCATCCACTCTAATATTTTTTAAAAGACTTTATTTTTTAGAGCAGTTTTAGCTTTACAACAAAATTGAGAAGGTAGAGATTTCCCATATACCCTGAGCCTCACACATGTACAGCCTCCCCATTATCGACATCACTCACCAGAAAGGGACATTTGTTATATGTGATGAACCTACACTGACACATTATCACCCAAAGTCTGGAGTTTACTGTACACTCTTGGTGTACATTCTATGGGTTTGGACAAATGTTTATAATGACATGTATCTATCATTATAAGTAATTTTGCTGCCCTAAATCCCTCTGTGCTCTGCCTGTTCATTTACCCTCCATCCCTGCCACCACTGATCTTTTTATTGTTTCTGTAGTTCTTTCTTTTTCAGAATTTCATATAGTTGTAGTCATATAGTTTGTAGCCTTCTCAGATTTACTTCTCTCACTTAGTAATGTGCATTTAAGGTTCCTCCATGTCTTTTCTTTTCCTCCAGCTCATTTCTTTTTAGCGCTGAATAATATTCCATTGTCTAGATGTACCACAATTTATTTATCCATTCACCCACTGAAGAACATCTTGATGGCTTCCAAATTTTGGCAATTATGATTAAGGCTTCTATGACAATCATGTGCAGGTTTTTCTGTGGACATAAGTCTTTGAGTTCTTTGTGTAAATACCAAGGAGCAGGATTGCTGGATCCTATGATAAGCATTTATTTAGCTTTAGAAGAAACCATCAAATTGTCTTGCAGAGTGGCTGTACCATTTTGCATTCCCACCAGTGATAGATAAGAATTCCTGTTGCTCCACATCCTCACCAGCATTTGGTGTTGTCAATGTTCTGTAGTTTGGCCCCTCTAATAGGTTTGTAGTGGTATCACATTATTTTAATTTGCATTTCCTTGATGACATATGATGTGGAACATCTTTTCACATGCTTATTTGCCATCTGTGTATCTTCTTTGGTGAGGGGTGTGTCTTTGAATATGTATTTATCCTTATAAGATATATGTTGCTGATTTGTGTGAGTGGGCTATTAATTTACACAAATGGTAGTTTCTATAGGTCTCTTTCTCAGGTTGTTTTGTTTGCTTGACACTGTGGTCTGTGTGCTGAATTTAACTGGAGTCTATTGCTTCTAACTGCTGCTTATTATGCATGGCATGTGTGCATCTACAACGCCTCCTTTTCCATTGACTTATTGATGGACACTGTGGCTACCTCTAACTTCTGCCTTCCCAAGCAAAGCTGTGATGAACTTTCAGTACATGACTCTCATGGACTCCTGTGTGTGTTTCTCTGGGATATACACCAAGGGCAGGATTCCTGGGGCAGAGAGAAGATACATACTCAGCTGAGGCGCTGTCTGACTGTACTCCAAGATGGCTGCCACAGCCCACATGCCAGAGTGACATGAAGGACCACTTTCTCTCACATCATTCCTGGTACTTGGAATTATCTGATTTCCTATTATAATCTGCATTTCTCTGATGACAGAGAAATAGGTTGTTTTCTATCTCA